AAAGTAATTAGCTTAGGCATAGATAATATTTTTATTACTAACAAAAATAACTATTTTTATTTACTACTATATTACTATATTATTCTTTAGTAATATACAATTAAATAAATAATATCCAAAGTATCAGCTAACTACACTAAATAAGCGAAAGTAATTAGCTTAGGCATAGATAATATTTTTATTACTAACAAAAATAACTATTTTTATTTACTACTATATTACTATATTATTCTTTAGTAATATACAATTAAATAAATAATATCCAAAGTATCAGCTAACTACACTAAATAAGCGAAACGAAAAATGTAAAAAAAGACATTAACCCCAAATAAAATCATAAAAAGGTTATTAGAACATTTGTATCTTTTGGTAACGTATTCTAAACATTAAAAATAATCAAGAAACTAATTACAAAAGAAATCAGTATTTCCACATCTTTCTTAAAAAACTATATTATAATTACAGATTCACGTATGTTGTCTGATTTATTTTTTATTTTTCTATCGTAAAACTGAAATGAACTCCCTTAATTATCAGAAAAATTATTTTCAAAATTGAAATTCTTTTAATTGCCATTCTATGAAAATAATGTTCAGTTAATGTAGAAGTTTTTGATACTAAATCATCATAAGCCAGAATTAAAAAATCATTTATTATTTGATTGCCAAGTAAAATGTATGATCGATTTATCTAAATCCACAATTTTAATTAGTCTTTAATTAACCACCAACCAGCAATTATAATAAACTCATACCCAGTTATTATTATTTACATTACAAAAGTGTGCTTTAAAGAAGATCAAGTTAAATATATTTATATACAGAGTAGACTGAAATTCGTAGAGTTAACTATATAGTATAGAAGCAAATAATGAAGCCCAATTCTGGAGAAAATCTTACAGTCGAACAACGTGTAAACACATTACTTCATGCTCGCTAAAGTTCGTTCAAAATATCTTACAGAATAGATAATTTGTGTTAGAATCGAAAACTTTTCCAAATCTCCGCATTATATCTTTACAAAGTTCACAAATCTGATGAACTAAAAACAATACAAATAACGGTATCATTTAAAGCATGTAATACCTGTTTTCTGTTATTAGACAAAAATGTCCATAATATTTCAAATCTTTAAGAAATCAACTTAGATCAAAGATGATAGCACTTCTGAAAATGAAATTCTAAACTTAACTAAGACAAAATAAACATCATGTTCATTAGATGAAAGTAAACTATATTAATAAGAAATGGAATTATAATTTAAAATATTAGAGGCTTACACAGGGTGAATGTTTCTCATGGACGATATATAATAGAAATAAAAAAATTTTTCTGTACAAAGACACGCACCGCTCTAGATCACTTTCTATTTAATAATTAACTTAATATATATAATTATGAAACAAATATATTGCATATGATAAGTCCGCCGTCATTATTATATTATTAGTTATCAATATTCACCACCGTCAATAATATTTAAATATTTTAAAATAGTAATGCTTTATGTGCTTTAGTTGATACAGTTAAATAATATATCTGAAACAATGTGTTGAACAAATAGTAGAAATACTTGGATCAACAAAAAGTCACTAAAGCAAAGTTTATTTCAATTAGTTGAAGAGCTAAGATTAAAGCCAGATATCATGACTATATGGACTTATTTTGCGATTTACTAGTTTATACAAATTTTTACAACCCTATTGAGTTTACATACTATATTTTTGAATATGTACTAATATGAAGATATTAGTAGTTCCTTTACTTTTACTTTATATAGTAAGAAAGAATAACAAGCATTTTTAACAATAATGTCATACACCTTAGCACTACTAGCCAGAGTCAAGCTAAAGTTTATAATTAATTTAATATTATATTATAAATTATAGACCATTTACTAGTTTATACACATTTCATTCACTGTACATTTATTTTATAAATATATATTATTATTATTAGCTCTTCTCTATCTATGGGAAAGCATAGTGCTAAAGATTATAAAAAATTTTAAATTGCATTGCATTGCAGGTAGAACTCTTGACTATAATTGGAACATAATTAATTTTATTTTATATTAATTATAAATTCATTAAGTTTATAATTAATCGTAATCAATTTAATAATTATCAGCGCAATAAGTTGCTTTAATAATAGTGTAATAAACATGTAAAATTTATATGTGTGAGATATAAATCTAAGTCAAGTGATTTTATGTTAATATTAATATTATATGAATTTAATTACAATTATTTATTATTCTTTATATAACAACTGATTACGCAAATACAAAATAAGGACTTTTTATAAAGGAATAAATTTTTTTTTTATTTTAATATGTAGTAATAAAAAGTTTTATCTAAGTAACAAACGGCATAAGTGCGATTATAACAGAACAAACAAGGAATCTTGTTAGAAGATTTAAGATTATGTGTTACTACAATAGAAGCACATAATAATAGACTACAGTTGAAGAGCTACTATGTAAATAAACATAAATAGAATAATGAACATAAGAGTTTATGCTACTAGTTTCAGCACAAACTACTTGATACTGCTAAAAAGGACATATAGTGGTTATTTATTAATTACAACTATCAGTTCGTCCTTTACTCTTATTAAGAGCGATGATAATATTTGGGAATATAATAATATTTATATTATTATACAAATTATTGTTTCAGCATAATTTGTTTTTATCCTATATTAACACAATCATTTACTTTATATTCTTATAACAACAGCAACAATGGTTATGTGTAATCTCTTCGCTATACAAAAGCGGTCTTAAGGATTTAAAATATACGTTGAATAAATATTATTTATTTAATAAATATTTTTTGTCTAAACACAAAAACTACACCAATTAAAAAAATTATTCAGATCTACAATCAAAACTGAATTTATATAATAAGCACGCTTTATATATTTTATTGAGTTAGTTAGGGTAAAAACAATATTTTAATTACGAGTATCTTACCTGATTAGCCGGCGGGTAACCACCATATCCGAACTGCGCATATGCAGCCATATTCATGATTTTCCTTCAGAGTTATTAAGTTCAAAATTCAATAAAAACCTTATCAAAGTTGATAACAAATGTAACTGGTGACTTTGGATGCTGTAGCAAAGCTCCACTTAAGCTACACTTAAGCACAACAACAGTGAAGTCACAAAGAACGCAGCTTGATTAAGGTACACTGCCGAAATTTGCACCCACACCGCCACATACAAATTCGGTTTGCGTAGCGCACAGAAACACACAGCCAAACTCAGATACTCCAACGACAACAAACCAAAAATGCTGTAAGGATCTGTAAAGGATGTTGATGATAAGCACTGTCGCTGTCGCTGTCGGTGTCGGTGTTGCCGTTATTGTAGCTGTTGCCTTTTTTTCAAAACGGAAGAAGGTGCGTAGTTCGTTTGTTTGTATCGTCGAATGTTTATGTTGGTTTTTATTTGCGCCTTTAGTCGGAAAAGCTACGAGAAGAAAAGCTATTGTTGCCGTTTCCGTGTTGGAAATTGGTAAAACAAATTGTCAGGCATTTGTGTTAATGTCAGTGGGAAATGTTTTTTTTTATCTCTTTTCTTGTTATTATTTTTTATTTATTCAGCACCAAAACAATTTTTGTGTGGATTTCAATTAAACCTTTTTTTCGCAGAAAGTTCTACCACCAGTTTTTAGAATGTTTTACTGCCAGTTTTTGGTATCCTTTTTGGGTGACATGGTTTAGTATGGTTTTGAGTTTTATTTATTTGATTTTTTTATTTATTATACGATTTTATTTGTAGCCATAAATATGTCTAACATGAAATAATTTAACTTGTTGTTGACTTCGGAGGTGTTAAGTTATTTGCAAATTGTTCGGAAGTTGTTAGAACTCATCGCACTTAACCCTATATTGTTTTTCTTATAGTATTTTTAAAAGGGCTTGTTTAGCTACACATATCATAGTACTTAATTTTTTTTTTTTTTTTCAAATGTAAGGAACTTTATTATAATTTCTTTTTTACGGTAATTACTATTGCACCAATTTACTGATTTAATTTATTTTAAAATTAAATAACATATTTGTTAAATTTTAATTATTTTATATTTATCTTAAACTTGTTTACAACCTGTTATGCGTCGATTTATCTGTTTATTGTGATTTTCTAATATTAAAATAATTTCAACATTTCACCGATGTGCACCTAAACACGTTCGAACACAAACTAGTTAGTTGTGTTGAACGGTTTGTTTGGATTTCTGATTGTCAAGATATTTACAGTATTTCTGGTTGCCGCATTGTGATTGCAACGAAAAGAGCAGAACAACAATGTGTCAAACTGTGTGTAAGAGCGAAACAAAAATGAAATGTTAAAAAAATGTGAAAACATTTGTGCCATAAGTGCCACTACTCCAACAGTTGCAGATACATTTGTATCTTCATATTAAGTGAACACTACAGCTGTATTTGTGCGATACAATATTTTGTATCTGCATTCGTACGACATGTTGGAACTGGTATTACTGATTTCTGTGCTTGTTCACGCATCTCTTCATCACTGTGAAAAGCATCTTTGTGTGTTTCGTGGTAGTTGTGAGTTTTTGGCAACGCCTTCTTTTTACTTATAAAAAATGTTTCTCTTTCAACAAGTAACGAGTAAAGTACAAAATATCTAACTAGTAGAAATCAAGTTGAGATATTGTTTACAAACAATTGCTTAGCTGTTGCAGTTCTTGTTGTTATTATTTTTGTTGCTTTTGTTGTTCTTACGATTACAAATCGTTTCCCCTTTATTTATGTATGTTGCATATTTGTTTGCATTGGAATATAAATTTATGGCAGCGAAATTTGACCGCATAATAGTCTCCATTTAAGGGGCCCTGAAGCCATAAAAAAATGCTTTCAGTACATTCTGTACATTTTTTTTGGCAAATTTAAATTTACTTTTTTACTTTACATATTACATAGTTTTGTTTAGAATAAAAATGCAAAAATTCTTTTTTAAAAATATTTTTATATTTTGTTTTCATCTTTTTTTACTAATAACAATTAATGTATTTTTTCATAGACTTAGGAGTGGTTTCGTTTTGTTGCATTTACAACAACACACCCTTTTATCTTTTAGTGATAAAGCTAAACACAAAATATTTAGAATAAAAATAACTTACAAATGGAGTATTTTGCTTAAAAAATTTTTTTATACTCCGTAAAATGCTGAGTATTTCATTAAATTTATTAAAGCAAAAAACATATTTCCTTTGATGTTAGGAAGTGAAAGCAAATGTTGTGGCGATCATTGGAGCAAAGCAATTTTCTCTTAAACTTTTATTATAGTAGTTTAAGCATAATTAAAAAATAGTGATTAAGTAGATATTATAACAAAGGCAAAGTAATCTTTCTATTGAAATTTGTATTAATTTTAATAAACAAAAAACAAGCTTAGATAAATATTAAAATAAATGAGTTCCTGTTCTTCTATTAATACTTTTTTTCCTTAATAAATAGTATAAACTTAATTATAAATCATAAATATATAATTACCATAAGACTTGTGTTCTTTAAAGTCATTTTTTGTTATCAATATATGTTTTTATAACCGGATATAATCTAATTATATAAAAAAATGCTCAATACTACATAATTAAGGTAATTAAAACATACATTGATAGTATCACTGATTTGCATATACGTATGAACTGTCCTACTAAATAGACTTCATATCAATTCCAAGCTAAGAGCATACACTTCACTCACACAAGTGGTTAATGTTCCATATAAATAACATATTTTTTTTTTTATTGCTATGACTATATTACAAACAACGAGTAACTAATTATTATTATATTATAAATATAATTATTATAAATATATAGTATTTATTTTATTAATTTTTGTAATATAAACAAAAGTCAAAGTACTAGATTAAAACACCGAAAACGTATGAAAAAATAAAACAAAATTATTTAATAAGAATTCATAATCAAGAAACGCAACTATATTAAAAAAATAGTGAAAATAACATACTACACAAAATAGTATTAGAACTAAAATAAAAATATAGCAAAATCCTGTTTAGAGGTGTTCCCTGATTAAGAAGATTATTTTTACCGTGTTATATTGAAATCGTGTTATACAGAACTTATTCATATATTTATTTAAACTAATATATAATGTAACATATAACCTCTGATAAAATGTCATTGAAGGCAATGTGTAGTTTACCAGGTTGTAACAAAAGTTATTTCGTTTAATATCAAAACTATGCATTTTGTATCGTGTTATATCGAAACCAAGTTTTAAGACTAGAATTTCCTTTCAAGTACATAGGCAAAATAAATTAGTAAGTAATATAAAAAAAATTCAACGCAAGTTTTAAAAAAAATAAAAATTCAACTCAATATTATATTATAATTCAAAAATAATTATAATTTTTGTAATATGTTACAATGTTAATTTATATAATAATTATCATTAAAAACTGTGGTTAAACTGATTTCCTTACTCCAAGTTTGCAAAAAAATCTTTATCGCTACTCATTTCTAAAATTTTGTATGATGTAGCACAAATCCATATTATAATAATCACAAATTTTGTATCGTGTAATATGGAAACCGTATTGAGCAAGTATCATATTAAACGTGGTATATCTATAATAATTTTTATTACAAAAATCTTTTTCATTATCTTGTTTTGCTCTATAATTACTTTTAAAATTACCTTTCACAAAACAGTATTATGTTATATGTTCCAATTAAGCTACATGGGAGACAAGGAAATATCAGCGTGCCTCATCCAAAAATCGCATAAAGCTACTACACAATAGGAGGGCAATGAATATGGGCACAGTTCCATCCTCAATCTATTCAGTTCCTTCTGAGATTGTGTTATTTATATAGTCATCACTCTAAGTTTATAACAAACTATAGTACAGCTTTGCCATCTAACAATAACTTGATATGCGAGGGTATTTCATTAGGATAATGTTTTACTGTAGTCACTGATGACTCCAATATAGGTAACGATGTGTTCACACTTACTAAATTAAGGCTAAAAAATTAAAAGTTAAATATTACTTTTTAAAACGTTTCAAAGTAACTTGCACTTTTTAGCGTCTTATATTTATATTTCCTTTAAGAAACTTGTATATATATATACGAAAGGCTCTTTGATCATTGAGACTTTGTGCTTCACTAGGAAAGAAGAACAGCAGCAAGTAAGTCTCAGATTATTGAGTAGTGTTTCAAGCACAAATTATTGCAACTACGAAAGTTACAACTTGTCTCAAAATAGGTGTTTTAATTACTAGACATATGTTCATATTTTCAAATAATAATCCAATGCGTTTATTTTGATTGGCAGTTTGGACGGCTTTGCGCTTATATATATTTTTGATTAATGATCTTGCATTTCTTTTCTAGGTTTCTGGCTACAAAGGACGCATTCAAAATAACTGAATAGTTTAGACAAATTAAGGGAATTATCAAAATCTTTCTGCAGTGGAAAAAGTTAAATTCTAAATTGGATAGATCAATGATATATTTAATAGATAAAAATTTTTCTTTTATTCTAAGATACTCCATAAATTATTTATTTCGTGGTGGTAGCTTAAATTCCCTGAGTACCCTCTTTCTAAATTATTTTAGTGAACTATAAGCTCTTTTCTATAATAACCACATTTTAAATTTTTTCTAGGGGCGCCCATTTTTAAAGTTTTTGATATCGAAAATGATCATATATTGCCCACTTCTTAGACCGCATTTGTCTATTGCTTTTCAACTAAAACTATTGCTCCTCTATTGTTATATAAACAATAATCTTTGTTTTGTACTTATTTTGCATTTTTATTCGATTTAATGAAATATTTTTTTCAATTATAAAATTACATTATGTTAACACCACTAATAAAAAGAAGCCATGATTTCCAATTTTTTAAAATGTGAAGTTTTATGTTCCGTTTTGGGTTTCAGTAGACTTTAAAATGTTATATGAATTCGATTCCAATTTACCGGTTTTCGGTTTAGTTTCAACTGTATAACTGTACATATATGACAAATTAATGCTTTATCATGACTTGATTCATTGTTTGTAATTAATGTTTATTATTAATTACAAATTGCCTTTTATTATTATTAAAACTTCTAATATACTTTCATTTAAACTATTTCTATTATTCCTGAAAATAAATTTCCATCCCGAAAAGCTCCATTACACTTTTTTCCATCACTAATACAGCTTAAACTATATATGTTTTTCAGTTAAATAAGGATGTGTTTTTATTTATGTGTCCTCCATAATTATTTTTTTTGTCTAATTATTTTATATGGTCAAAAATATTCAATATACATCACATTCTATATTCAATTCTTTAGAAATATAGGATTCATATTTTTGTATTACCGATTTTTTTTTTGTGTTATATAATTCTCTGAACACGTACGGAACTGTACGTTGTTGAATCGAGATATATTTATATATCTTTTTTCGATTCAGTTTTACTTTTCGCTGTAGCATGAATATCAATTTCTTCTGGTTCAGCTCCGGTTTGAAGCTCCACTAATTTCACGAAAGTGCCAGTTAACAGCACTAAATATATTGAGGAATAATTACACAAATTGTTTTATAGAAAATCACTGTTTAACGTTTTTGATGTCAGAATATATTATTCCAAAATACTTCCACATATCATTAATATACAGCAACTTAGTTGACTCAGTAAATAGTTCCATACACATTTCAAATGGAGCCATAAAAAATAGTGAAAAATGTAAAAAGCGTGCTAGAAATCAGTTGTGAATATTTAATTAATTAAAATTGTTTCATTTCTGTTAAATGTCTCCAGTAATTACTATTAGCATTAAGCCGTGATTGTTTCTTCTATTTAATGTGTTTCGTTATCACGTTTAGGCAATGAACTGCTTGTTGTTTTAAAGGCAATTGCACGAATTAAAACTGAGAAGAAAGAAAAAAAAAAAAAATAAAACAACATTTTGTGACAAACAATTTGATTTTTGTATTATTTTAAGAATTTTATTTTGTATTTCGATTTTTAAAATTCTTATCATGTGTGTCTAAACGCCGACAAAACTGCACTCTTAAGGCACAAAGTGTGCCGATATTTACTTATACAGAAAAACTGAGTAAATAAACTGTCATTTAGGAAACAAAAAAGAATGAAAATATTTATTAAACGTCGAACTTATGTTTGCAGAACAATTTCAATTTCAAGTGTTTCGATCGATAAGATTCAAAGTAGAAATGCAGTACAAGTTTTAATACTTTAATCACACATAGATAAAAACAATGGAGTAATTGTCGTTATAACGACTCCACACTGTCTGGTTTTTCTTTAATTACATTCATATCATATAATTTAATACATTTATGTATCAAGCAATTTGGTAACTTTAGTCAAAAGTTTACTAAATATTTTTGTACAAATTTCCATTGTCGTAGAACAAATTGCAAACTATCATTAAACGAAATCAGAGCATAGCTACTCTCATTCCTCCATTATCCCTGGAGTATAATATCAACTTTACAAATTTATTTTAAACAATTTGCATTAAATCCTTTCTTCCGTCTTTGCATTGCTTCTTGGCTTCTCGGTTCAAGAATTTTATTAACACATTCAAGTGAATTGATGCACAAAATTTACAAAATTTCAATTTAAGAAAATTCGACAAGAAATTCTCAGAAATCTACTTCAGTTAGTGTGTACGTATGGATTTGCATTTTAGTTCGCACCAACACCTTTAATAAAAGCACTCGCATATATTAAGGTGTGTGCATGTATTTGTGTTTCAAAAAATAGACAATTTCATGTCCAAATGCTTTCCAGGTGACATGAAACAACACTTAGGCAACATCCCGTAAGTGCTGCCAATACCAACACCGTACGCCATATGCCACATGGCAAACACCATACTTGACGCTTGTAATGGCAGGCAAGTAAAAAGTAAGCTTCAGAGATGCTCAGATATACTCGTACTATATGTACTGAAAATCACAGTACTGGGGGTGATGCTGTGCCGAATTTGCTACTACTATATTATATCTGACTCAATGGAAATCTACATTTAAATTGTTTTCAATTTAATCTGCATGTTGCGTCTTACGGCTACGAACATGTCCAAAATGACATTTACCAAATATAAGTATACTATACAATAGTTGATGTCCTTGCTGCGAGCACTGGCACATCAGCACATACGAGTCTATATATATATATATATGTAGCCTTATATGTAATCGTCAACCATCAGACGACGATAGCGGCTGCAGTAGCAATTCGAACACCTAGTTATGATGATTTTATTTTTAATATGATAGTGTATGTACTCTTATAAGACATTTAAGGAAGCCACTTAAAAGGAAACATGTGTCCCAATTCACATAATGTGCGACACGTTGTCAGGAGCGCACAGGCTATAATGCCAGCAACAGAAAGGAGATTGAAATGAATATGTACAAATCTGGCATAAATTTTAAAATTATTTTTAACAAATTTATGTAGAATAGTAATATTGTATTTCACTCTATATATGCACATATATAACTATTATATATAAATGCATTTAAAATCAAATTTTAAAAGAGTAAATTTTGGTGAATTTATAAAAATTACAAATGAAAAGTTACTTGTGCCTCTTCTGGCGCCAATAAGTGCGAAAGAAGATACATTAAAAACCACACAGAAAATTGTCATTATCATTATGATACTCTCAAGTGGCACAGGATTCTTTGTAAATCACTTGTACAGATTATAAATGAGTGCAGGTTAACACCCATAAAAATATCTCACTTTACATAAATTTCCTCTTAAAAAAGGAATCTACGCATTTTTCACATCTCAAATTCCAATAAATCACTGCGAAAACCAGATGGTCTCGAATGCAGTCAATATACAAAAATTTGGAAACTGAAACTGCATTTTCTATTTATCAACTTCATGCACATCTGTATGTATACTATACATAAACATATCATGGACATTATACATTATATGGTAATCAGTACAATTAGCACTTTGTTTCTCTGTAGTGATACGTAAGCAACCTTGAAAATTTCAGTGACAATTTAGTAATCAATTTAATATTTACTTATAGTTTAATGTGATTTTCAACTTTTATGACTATTAAAATTTATTATAACATTGCGAAATTAAAATCAATATAAATAAAATCAATATATTAGAATTGAATGTCCTCTAAAACATTATTGGCATCTTGGTAAATATGATCACAATACTATTAAAATTTTAATATTTTATGACATTATTATGAATATTTACTATCACAACATTCTAACTGCCAAATAACGTCACCATTTACAATATTTATATACGACTATTCATTACTGAGACCACTGATTTGCTCTTTTATATATTTTTCGTTAAACGCAATTTGGCTCACTTGCCTGGTCTTTGCCTTACCTATTTTATTTTATTATCTGCAGTCTACATTAGATACTGCTTAACAGGATCCAAATCATCAGTATAGACGGGATCGCAGTTGGAATTTCAAATAAAGTTGTCGATCACAGTTACGCAAAGGAATGACAAAGCATAAACCCATGACTAACATTACGTGTTAAAAAAAATGGAACCATTGTTCAAAATTCTTTAATAGGTCATCTCATTGCTAATTCTTATAATATTTCTGCAATGTTTTTTGGAATGGTATCGTTTTTACCATACCATGTAGATAATGCTATGCCTTTAGCTTTTACAAATCCCTATATATATAGTATTTTTAATACATAAAGTGTTTTTTTAAAGTCTACCAACGGGGGACAAAGATTTGAAATATAGATTGCTCATATATGATTGTTATTGTACTTGTATTTTTGTGAACTAAGTTAAGAAGCTATATTCTTCCTTACTCATTCATAATATTTATAATGTTATAAATTCAAATTTATAATATTTTTAATTTATTTTACGTTGTATATCTCTCTCTTTTTATCGAATATATCTCATTAATATAAAAACAATAATATGCTTTCCTTTCTAAATTTAGTCTATCTTTTAAATAAATCAAGAATAAAAA